ATTATTTAGTAATAGCAATACATATTTATATAAACATACCAAATCATATTTTATGATGTCTATGCTGCACTGTGAACCACTCCCGGTCCGCTTGCATCCTTGTATGCATTTGAATCGTGGCAGAGTTCACTTCAACCGAACCCAGGCGGACCAGAGTTCGCGTTTTTTGGTCTGCATTGGAGATCGATTACACATTCACACCTCCCCAAACCAACCGGTCCTTCTACTAGTTAGATTAAAGTAGAGTAAGTTTTGAAACCATTGTATTTTTTTTAAAGCATGAAAACATGACCTTTCAAAAACAATTAGCCTTAACCAGGGCAAGCAGGGCTTTATACTGGCTTTTTTGGACATCCTAAGAATATAATTTTATGCAAAATATTTTTGAAACCTTGTGCTGGATTCAGATTTAATCCACGGAATAAAACAATCATATTTCTGCAAACCTTTTGTCAGGAATTTAAAGATACACACAAAATAAGTTTATTTATGTGTGCTCCCGTGTCATGTCTGTTGATATTTGTGTGACAAGGTTTTACTGTATACAGGTGTTGACTTTGGCTACGAGGGTCAGAAGCCTCTCTTCAAAAATGTGGACTTTGGCATTGACATGGACTCCAGGAGTGAGTGTCCAAATCCTGCAGGAGATGGTTCATACTCATATTTAGATATTGGTGCTAATTATGTCTTTATTGAGCATTATAAAGACTGAGAATTTTATATGAATTACTACTTTGCTTATAATGTGAACATTGTGGCAGTTTTTCTTCTGCTATTTATATTTCCCCACATTTCTCCATTAGTTTGCATCGTGGGACCCAATGGTGTTGGGAAGAGTACTTTGCTGCTGCTGCTCACAGGAAAATTAAATCCTGTAAGACCACATACATGAAATCCCTCTTTTTAAATTATATATAACTAGCTTAACGGAAACCTTTTTTCTTTTACAGATTAAGGGTGAAATGAGGAAGAATCACCGCTTGGTGAGTAACATAAACGCAAACACATGAAGGCCCAGTCTCAATACTCGCATATTTCCATTCTTGTTCTGCCCTGCTGTCCTTCAAATGTGCCTTCATGGAGGGTTTGAGTGCGCAGTGAGTCCCACATTCTCTCCATCCAGCCTTCGCCCCACCCATTTTGGGTCCTATTTCTACACATCAGCGAAGCCCGCATCTTGGCGGACTTTGGCGAAGTGGGTTATCCACAATTCATTTCTGTGAATTGCCATGTAATTACAAGCAATTATATGGCAATTTTGTCATTATTAAAAATTTTTAAAAAGTACGAAGCACACAAAAAAGTGCAAAAAAAGTTTGATATGATAAACTGAGCAGAAAAAGGAAGGGATAAAAAAAGAAGAGTCACTAACTAACTGTAAGGAAAGTAAACAGAAAATGTTTCAAATGGTAGACAAATTTCAAATCTTCATGGAAGTTATTAAAATATTGGGCTTTTGTGTTGTTGCAGAGTTTAAGCACTTTCATAAATAAAATTATTTCACTTTGAAAATATTAAAAATTGAGGTGAATTTTAGAAAGCGGGATTTGTGAATTAAAAATTTAGGATTAAATCATTAATATCATAATTTAACTCTTCATCTCCAGTCAGAAGACAGGAGATGAAGATCGTCTTGAAAATCTTTAAAACATTAATGAAATTGCATCTGAAAAAAGATGTCTCAAAATCTTTGTCACAAAACACAGAGAAACTGATATATTGAATTTTTTTGGTTAAGTCATTACAGGAAAAACTTCATACATAATAATAAAATGAATTACATTTTTTGTGCACAAATGTCTAAACTGTGACCAGCCTGCCGTTCTGGATGTTGAAGTTGCTACACAGAGGTGTACTGTTTCAATTCTGAAATGTTTGCATGCTTGTAATCTGCACACTCAAACTTATCTTCACTTTGATTGAGTACATACTTCATAGATCGCTGTAGGGTGCACTGTATTGGGACCTTGCCAATATGGTGGCGGATGGGTTTGAGGAAGGGACTTCCTCAAACCCTAACCCTAACCCTAACCCCACCATGAGTTAATACGCATGTTTTGCGAATTAACTCATTAAAAGACCAAGCTAAGTCTGAGAAAAGGGAACATTTCTTGTGAACAACATGCAAGCTGCAAGAAAATAAACCCCTAAACTGGAATTTTAACCAATAACCCTGAAGCAGACAGTCAGTTACAGCTTGGTGTAGTGAGGCAGGTAAAAGAATATTCATTTGATGTATTGTTCTGATCTTTTTTAAATGTCCTCAAGTATAAATGTTGTTGTTGGTGTTAACGTCCTCATGTTCTTTGCTTGTATCCCACCTGGCGCTTTCATGTTTTTGTCTCCGACAGAAAGTGGGGTTCTTTAATCAGCAGTATGCTGATCAATTGAACATGGAGGAGACGGCAACAGAGTACCTTATGAGAAACTTCAACCTGCCCTACCAGGATAGCAGGAAGTGCCTTGGACGCTTTGGCCTTGAAAGTCATGCACACACCATTCAGATCTCCAAACTCTCTGGTATGAACCTTAGTAGCTGCCACATGGCCATTTGTTTCAGAGGAGCCATTTTTAATCGCCTCTGCATTTTCTCCCAACAGGTGGCCAGAAAGCCAGAGTTGTGTTTTCAGAGTTGGCTTGTCGTCAACCAGATGTGCTTATCTTGGTAATAGCTGCTTCCTGTCTCGTCATCAAAGTATCAAAGGCTCTATTGAAATCTATCAATACCAGTGATGAGAGGAGAATTTAAAAGTGAAAATTATGAGAATCTGCTCTGAGTTATTAGATGAAATTACGCTCAAACGATATTATCGGGCAAATTCACTTTGCTTCCAAAACACTGAATAATTATATTTATGCAGTCAGGATGGATAAGATGTAGCTGTGGGAGACTTGAACCTGTAAAACTTGATTATATTATAATAGAAAATCCACAAAGTTCAGTCCTGGGGATTCTGCCCCTCCCCACCCACCCCACTAGTGTTTGTACTGTCTCTGTTATGGAACTTCATAATGTGTATGGTCATTTGAATCACTCCAACCAATCTCAGACAGGTCCTTTTCATCCAATCAGAGTATCACTTGAAAATATTGCATTTACTTGGATGACTAACAGCCAATCACAACCAGAAAATCAAAACACTGCACCAATTAGTAGACATTACTAAATAAAATGGCAGCATTTAGAAAAACACTGGAAACTTAATATAGCAAATACTTGAATATTGTCATAAAGAATTAACTGATGTACAAAACATATTCATTTTAATTGCATGTTTTCTTTGCATTTTTAAGACTTTGCAGCTAGCGTATTGTAAATGTCATCTAATAAACAAATAATTGTCATATTTTCAATTTCTTGCCAACTTTTAACACAAAACTCCGGTGGAGCCATTCTGGTTGCTGATTGAGCGCCCTAGCGCCGAGTCAGTAGGTTTTCTTGGGGAAACCCTGCATGTGACCCCCAACCTCAGCAGATCACTTAGAATGATGTGGAAGCTGCTGTACTCAGAGAGAGGAACTTGCCTTTATTTTGGGATATTTTGCATTTTTACTTGAGGTCCCAAAGACATCCTGAGTCCCGCCACCTGAACGGATGGTGTGGATTCTTCAGGATTTTTTGGGGGTTGTTGTTCTGAATGAAGTCAAATATATACTTTTTTTTTTAGGATGAACCTACTAATAATTTGGACATTGAGTCAATAGACGCCTTATCAGAGGCCATCAATGAATACAAAGGAGGTGAGTAAAATTATTTATTTTTATAAGCTGTGAGGACCTGGGAAAGAAAGGAGTCTGCATGATAGCAGCGTTAGCTCATCCTGCGTCCCATTCAAGCAGAATTCATACAGCAGGAACCCCAACCAGGGCGAGTGTATATCAGTCAATATATTTTTTAGATGTCTGACATATATGTTAAGCCTTCTTTAATTGACTTATGTAATAATTAATTTTCTGGCATGTTGTGTAAGCCATAGTCACCTAAATGACAAGAAATAATAGCTTCAAACATTTCACTCCGAGTGATGAGTTTGAGGTTCACTTTCTGAAATGAGTGACAGTTCTAAGATGTACCTGTTTATTTGTTAATTGCTTTGTGTCCATTTAATTTATCATTCTAATATCCTGTAGTACAGGAAAGACAAAAACAGCCATGGTAAAAAGCTGGAGTGTTTAACTTACAAAAATGTTTTTTACATATTAAGTCTGTCACCATGTCATAACAGTATGAGACAGATAATCTATGGGAAAAAAATCAAGCTCCTCCTTCCTGAGTTGGTATTGCCATCAGATTGTTGAAAAAGAACCAATCTGAGCCACGTGGGGGTTTTAGCAGTCGATCAACCTGTTTGTTGTACTAAATGTGCTGGTGGCATAAAAACAATTCACTGTTCCAAGAAAAGCGATTATCTGCTGTATTAGCCATGCTAACAAGCCTGAGCATTCATGACCGTCTCTGGTGTGGTGAACCCACCTTAGTGTAGCAGAGAGCAAAGGGGAAGGTGGGAGCAGCGCGTACACAATTATGTTTGACAGCACCAATCTACAACACCCTCCAACTGGCTGTTTGGTTGTTTCTGATGGTGCAGGGTATTTGTTGAGATGATGGCAGGACCATAGGAGGAAGGCAGAGAAGCTTGATTTTTGTTTTCATTTTATCTGAGTTCTACTCTGATCCTGTGAGCAGCTGTGATCATCGTGAGCCATGACGCGCGACTCATCACGGAGACTCAGTGCCAACTGTGGGTGGTGGAGGACCGCACCGTCAACCAGATCGAGGGAGACTTTGATGACTACAAGAGAGAAGTGTTGGAGGCCCTTGGAGAAACCATGGTCAATAAGGTCAATCCATGATCACTTGCAGGGGAGACCCCAACTATGGATTATTTACAATCATATGTATCAGAACATTTGGAATATCACTCATTCCTCCCGCTTCACATAAGCAGGAAGATTAAATATCTTTAACTATGTCAAAACTTAATAAAATAATCTTCCACTTGCATTTTGTTATTTTATTTATTAACTTCAGTAGAATGTTCAGGCATGTTGAAGTCTGGTAGATTGTAAGCATTTTTCACGACGCTAGTGTTTTAAATAAGCCTTGTATATCTTCTTGAGTTGATCCACCTTCTTATCATCAGGCGATATTTCTCCATACCATTTATACCAGGGTCCATTAGGGCTAAGGAATGGTGGAGGGGATGTGAGTCCAACAGCATCATGAGTGTTGCAATAATCCTCTCCTGAAAAATCCACATGTGGAATCTGAAAAGGAAGTAAACCTGAAAGGAGAAATATTTCGATTTTCTGTTATTTTCACTCACCGAGTTTAAGTTGATTTTTGGTAACTTTCACTTCCTAATGATACCGCAATAGGAAAGTAGCTTAGAGCTCTGTGTACTCTTTAAAAAAAGCAACTTAATTACAGTAAGTTGCTTATTCAAACCCTATTTTTTCTATAAATGCATAGAAAATTGTTTCTACTTGATTTTTATTCTGTGATTGAGGTTACAACTTCATGGAATCTGCAAACTGCTGAACTTGATATATGTGAAGTTTTGCCATCTGTAAACAAGAAAAACATTCATTCAAGTCTGTTTATTTATAAAGCTGTTTCATAAGAAAAGGTGTCTAAAGGGCACTATGTAAGACATCAAATTGATCCAATTTATAAACAGAAAAATATTCCCAGGTCAATCCAAATATCTAAATTTTGTGTCATATTTGGAGCTGGGGTTTTACAGCATAATTCCATCGTGTGAGCCTCTGGAAAAACCAGTGACTTCACCAGAGCAGATTCAGTTACTCTGACTTTTTCAGAGTTCAGAGAGCTCATCAAGTAATCATGTCATCATTCTTGATGTAATCAAGTATGATGGCGTAATCATCAAGTATGTAGATACTTGATTAGCAATTATTTTTTCAGGCATGTTAGACTATAGATTGAATATACGTCTAATTTATTATGGCATCTTTATGGAGAACATTTTTAAGAAAGATTTGATTGCATATCTGCTTACAAAGGATAGCTCTATCTAAAATGATGGCAGTGATGGCCCCATCAATCCCTACCTAATAAGTTGGTAGGGATTGATGGGGATTTATGAAGTTGAAGCTTTGGATAAAATTCATATTTCAAAACAGTTTAAGCACTAATAAGGGTTGAAGAACAACCTCAAACTGAACAGTTATTAACTTCCTGTGGTCTGGATTTGCTGAATCATTTATTCACTGTTGAAAAAATAACTTGAAAAAATGTAACCTTTCTGATATTAATGGCGCCCTCCTGATCTCCACTGTGTAACACATAAGATGACATGTTAAATTCCCGCCCATACAATGCATTTGGAAAAGCGAGCCCAAATGGAGCTGGGGTTTCTGGTCGGCTTAATGCAGAGTTTCACAAAAGCTAAGAATTTCATACCGTCATCTCTTGCTTTGTCAATGGCTTCATTCAGCTTTTTCTGTTGTTTCATACACACACCTAAAGAAAGGAGATCCACCAGAACAATCAGTGGCTGAAACACTTTCTACATTAAAAGGTCAGATGATGGCTTACCAGTCAGAGTGGGATCATACACCATTCCAGAGTGTGGGCTGATAAATTGCTGGAGTAATTTCACATTCTACAAGCGAAGATAACAGGAGTTATTCTGGTTCGGTTTGTGCTCCAAAAGTTTTTTTTCCTCGACACTGGACAAAACTTTCCATTGTAAAAAAAATATATATATATTTAACAGAAAATGTCATTTTAATTAGTTGAGATGAATACATCTGAAAACATGAACTCCTCCTTCATAAGAGAAATCTCAGAAAAAACAGAATACAAGCTGTAACAGAATAACATTCAGTGATCTTTAAAGGTAACAATCTCTGAATATTGCATTGAAATATTTCACAGAACCAAAGTGACGGCTCATCATCTACTACTGGTTCAGTCTAAAAACAGAGCTGGAAGCTTTGACTCTGGGACATGAAAATGGATTTTCATATTGCAATCTAAAAATAAAACAACAAAAATGGATTTGAAATAGATTTTTTTCTTTTCGTTTTAATTTCGAATTTAATCATGTAGATTTGCTTTCACACAGATGCTCCGTATTTACCGGTTGGTGCAAGTCGAGAACAACTCCCTCACCCTTGACCCCAGTAGGGGAGAAGGGTGAGGGAGGCAGGGGGAGAGGGATGGAAAACGTGACATTTTGATCAAGTATGCAGTCAAACCTTCACCAACCTGATGGTGGATGATAATGTTAGGATCTCTACAAATTGGACAGGGGTGTCCACATATCTTGTCTCCTCTCTGCAAAACAAAAAACAGACTTATGGTTATTTAAATAACAGAGCATAAAGAAGTCAGTTCTGCAAAGAAGGAATGGTACAATGCAAGTCTTGCGTGTCTTCTGGGGCGGGATGCCTCCCTTATGGTTCCTCCTGTAGCCTGCCCACACCACACTGCTGCCGTACCGCTCAACATACTCTGCCAAACACATGTAACATAGACAAGTCAACAGCTGCAGCAAAGGCCAAGAATCTAGAGTTTCCTGCTGGATGCGCCATATTCTGTGATCACCGTATACTGTGACTGTAGGAGGCGCTGTTGCATTTTAACGCTGCTGCGCCAAAACGCAAGCTTTGGGGTACAAAAGCAAAAGCCCAAAAAAGACCACTAATATTAAGACTATTACAGAATGTTCTACTAATAGAAAAACATAATAAATACTTGAATAGTAAAGTTGTATTTTACTATTATTGGTTTATTGACTCCCTCATGTCTTGCTGAAAATGCCACAGTGCCTCCTATGGTCACGGCACAATATGGTGGAACTCCGGTACCGTCACTGTCCAGGTAATCCCAGGGTCTTTGTTTGTACCGATCTGCAGTCTGTGCCGCCTGGACCTCAGCCTCCTGCCAACATGCTGCTGAACTCCCGAACTGGTGTGTGAAGAGAGCAGAGAGGCGGGGAGGCTTCAGCGGCGGCTGCAGGGAGAACTAAAACAGAAATCACATCAGAAACGCGGCCATCTGAACCATGGCGGCCATGTTGGCGGGGATATCCTACCAGATATCGATGAAACTGGAATGAAGCTGAAATCAATTCACGAGAAAATATCCTGGATATGTTCAAGACATACGCGGCCATTTTGTCTTCACATGGGATGTAAGGTAAAAGGTGAAAGGTCGTCTCAAACGGACAATAATTTTCTAAAAAGAACGTATATTAATCAACTATATTATTCGTTAAATAAATCCACACATTATTTATTCAGATTCTAATCGTGGAGTATCTAACTGGTACCTGAGGACGGGCTGCAGTCTCCGCTTTCAGTCAGAGGGTGCGCACCATGTTCCAGCCGGAGAGGCTCATGGTGCCGGGGAGGCGTGGTTTGCGAACGGAGCGTCAACGCTCAGTCACCGGGGTAAGCGGTGGAAAACATTTCTAAGGTGACTGATATAAACATATTATACTGCTTCGGGTCTCACATAAAATTAAAATACAAAAATGAAAGATTCCACATTGAGATTTAGCTGACAGGAGGTCTCTGGAAGTTTCTATTCACATGAAGCGACAGAGCAGATTGGACTTCAAGGTTTGCACAAGATGCTGCAGATCTTCTATAAGTCTGTTGTTCAGAGTTTCATCTCTTCTGTTGGGGGCAGCAGCATCAGAACCATGGACCTGGAAAGGCTCAACAACGTGACAAAGAAAGCTGGTTCTGTAAAGAGGACGAGTTACCTTCAGAAAACCAGGCTCACTCACACCTCTCTTTTAAAAACAAACTTAAAATCTGTCTTTTCAAACTGACCCCAACAGCTGATGTCTCTGACAACTTTTACTTATTATTATTAGTGGTGATGTCACTTAATTTTTGTTATTATTTAAGTATATAATAAACAAATGAGTTCAGTTTCTACATTCATAAATTATGTTTTTGTAAAGTATCTGAGTTTTATTAAAAGCACTGACAGACAGAAACTATTATTATTGTTGTCACTATAGAACCACAACAACACAAATATTTTAAAAAGGCTTAAAGCCAAAGAAATCATTTTTTTAATATTTATTTTACACATGTGTTAACAACAAGGCAACAACTGTCTAAAAACATGAACTATGAAAGGGAAAGACAATTAAGCCTTAGATTACAAATACATTATTCATCCATTTTGGTAAATAAGTGACACGTTACAATCATTGTGAAATTGTTTTTTCTTCCCCAGACTATAATTGTACCATCAAACTCTATGATTGTTGCATCCCAAATCATCGCTCTGTTGACATGTCATGACATGTCATCTGACAAAAATATATTGTAATACGCCACTAGTGCAGGGCGTAGTCACTCACAATGACCTTATTTTCAAGAAACAGTAATTTTTTTAAAATTAAAACTACATTTGTATTAAAGCAGGAAATACAGTTAACCAGTTGCTCCAAAAATATCTAACAGATTGCTGTGGTAAAGGGGCTATTTTGAACTGAAAATAGCTCTATTTTACCTCTTCATCCAATCCTGCTAGAGATGTGAAAGGCGCTCATCTTTTTCCTTTCCACAAAATAAAAGAAGAGGCATTTGCCACAATGTAGATGGAATGAGAAAATACCACCATAGAACATGACTTGGCTTGTAGTGCAAGATGTCTGGATTTCTTAGGAACAACCTGAAAATAAATGACCAAACAGTGAGTGGAATATTGATATTTACTGTCAAATAAAAAAATGGAAATGAAGATGGTTGTTCATCACAGAAATATGTATAACAAACACTGGCTAATCATGCATCTGAGAACTAAATTCATTGGCCCAAAGTTTGCTTTAACACTATACATACCATGCAGCCACACATGCTGTGCTTTTATTAAACCAGACATATTTCTTTTAATCATCACTGAGTTCAAATTTAGATTAATTGTTTGTTTTTTTAGCTAATTTTATAATGTTTTTAATCAACTAGAACTAGACAGAAAGCTATAGAAAAAATATGGGAATATGTCTGAATAGTTATTGAAAATAACTACATTGTTTTTTTCCTATACTGCAGCTTAATAGCTTAATAGTATGATCATGTTTGTCAGGTAATATTAAGATAGATATTATTGAACATTCATTGATGTGTTCTTATTAATTTAACTAAGTGGAACCATGCATACGGTTTTTATGTTTGTTCTTAGACCTACAACCAGTACATGAATATTTTTCAAATATTTTTTCATCATCTTCCTCACTCTTATTGTTGTGTTTTTCAGCTGCTGCTCTGCAGTTGACCCAAAGCTGACTGACAAGGACTACAGGAAGACTGGAGGAAGGCATCAAGGATCCAAAGTGACATCAAACTTGGATTACCCCAACTCATACTGTTTCCCTGGTTCATAGAGTACCAGACTTAACCTCATGGATGCTGTTCTTCCATGAAACAATAGAATTTTGTTCTGTCAGCCAAAAATGAGTCAAATATGTCTCCATTTCTATGCTTGTTTTAATAAATTGTAATATTAATGCCATGTTGCAAATTCTAAGTTGTGTACACAACTTTTTGGAAATATGTTAATGTCAGAAAATTTTGAACTACATAATGCCCATCGTCTGCCAACACAATTGTGTGTTTAACACCAGTAAGGAAACTTTTAATGGTATGTTATGATATAGACCAGAAATGCCCAAAGTTGGTCCTCGAGGGCCAGCATCCTGCATGTTTCAGTTCTCTCCCTGTTGGCAATAACAACCTTTTCAGCATGTCAATGTTCCTCTTAGACCTTCTAATGAGCCATTATTTGATCCAGGTGGCAAATGATGAAACAGAGATAGAACTAAAACATGCAGGACGCATGTTTTTTGGACACCACTGATGTAGAGCTATCAGACCAAAAATGGACATGAATCAGTATCGATCCTTCAACTTTGATTCAATACAAAATCAACACAAATGTGCATGCAGATCCACTTTCAGATGATGGCTGACTCAACATTGATATTGTGTCAGTTATGGTTGAAACCCTAATGTTGATTCAACATGCAAGTCACCGACCACTTTCAAAATCATTTCAGTGTCAGGCTTCAACGTGGATTCAGTGTTTCTGTCTAACTATATTTTAACATTGATTCACTCATACTTTTCTGTCTGTCCATCTAGTGCAGAACTAGCTTCAGATTCCTTATCATGGAGGTAATTCTGATTTTCAACTATTATTTATTGCTTTTTGTGGTTAGTTTTCTATCTCTATACCAATTACAACATAAACCGTTAGAAGACAAGATGATTATGTGTGAGAGAATTTAAGCTGGAGCTGAATTGGAAACGGGTTTCTGCCCTTTAACACAGTGACAGTGGAGTGATTTAAAGAGCAGTTGTGAAATAAAATAAAGCTCCTTAAAACATGTCATGTTGAATATTTTGCAAATGTTGTTTAGAGGAAGTTTTTTTTTTTATCTTAATGCTTAAACAACCGGTGTCAGTAAATATTCATCTATCAGTAATCTGTTGAGCAGGGATCGGTCCTGGAAACAGACAGAATATTCAAAAATTTTCACTAGGTACTGCTAAACATTTTAATTTAGATGGAATTTGAAACATATTTTTAAAATTTGGAACCTCTAAAAGAACAGAAGAATGACATTGTATTTATTTTATGAGCCATGGATCTGAATCAGAAAGTATATAGCTAATGCAAAATCCCCAGCTGCCTGCCTCTAAGACCTTTCCTGATGGAAATCAATTCCCAGTTTAATATTAAATCTGCAAGTATCACCACAAAGTTTATTCTGCAAAGGCAGAAGCAGAACAGGAAATATGGAATGTTTTCCCATGTTATAAGTGAAATAAGACCTTTCCTAAGGTCTTCCACTTATTTAAATAAGTGGAAATAGTCAGTAAACGGCTTATGCTAACTAGCTAGATAGTAGACTGTGCCATCTCGCTATTTCCACTGGTAGATTATTTTACTAAAAACAAGACCTTTTTCTGAAGTTATAATTAAAATAAGTTGCTAGTGGAACCAGCGAGTAAACAGACTAGGCTAACTAGCTAGTTTCACTGGCATATTTTCCATGTTATAAGTGAAATAATCTGCGCATAAACGTCTGAACTTAATGTGAAGCTCTTTGGGGTCATAAAATGTGTGCCAAAAGTCTTGGTGCTATTGAGATAAAGTGTAGAAGCAAAAAATGCAGGTGACCCCAAATGTTTAGTTTTTATTTAGTTTTACTTAGCTTTTACCTTAATTTGCATATGACATCTCATTTTACCAACAAAGTATCGTATTACAAGCACAGTAGAGTTTAAAGAAAATATATAGCTTAGGTGTTGTTAAAAAGTGCTTAGATATAGTATGACTACTTGATGATATCTGAAAAAATATTGGGGGAAAATAGACCAGTAATCGTTGTGCTCTGCACTGTATATAAATTACATTGAGATCTCAATTGTACATAAAAACATATAACATAACTATCTTGCGGAGGAATCTCCTAGGATGCAGGTGCTGTGTTGAAATCCAGAGGGGAAATCCAGACTATGAGTGCCTCCCCAATATGGCAGCTTCCATTGACGTACTACGCTTTTACCTCGCATGAGTGTGACCACCAAACCAGTCGCCATTTTAAAAAGAATCTGAAATTGAATTTCTGTATAAAATAATAATTAAAATCTTTATTTAATCATCAGAATATCAAAGTAGTTTGATTATGTACAGAGTGATTCAAGATCAACCAACTTTAATTTTAACTTTTGAGTCTTTTAGAGGGTTTTTTTTCCTACCATGTGAGATTCGCCATTACGTCCTTGAGCAAAGAAGCAAGGTCGGTTTTCCACCATTTTGTTTGTGCTAATATGGACAAAAACATTGGTCATGACGTCAAATACGTCATGCAGTATAAAAACGAAGTCCCTCCTTTCCGAACTCATTCGCGGATTTGGTCAAAGGTAAGTAAAGACAGTAAAATTGGGGAGCGATAAGACACCAGTGGATTTTAAATGGGAAAAATACTACTAAGGATAATAAAATCCCTTAATATTATCAAGGACGGGGGTGTTTAACAGTCAGTTGAATGTGAATTTGTGGTTTTTGTGTATTTCTGCAGGTTTGAAATTGCTTTGCCGAAGACTGAGCCGTCGAGGACTTCAAACAGCTCTTCTCAATTTCATTTTTTTCCCTTCAAGTAATGGACATTTGATTACTATTTTTGCCTCCAGTTGGTCCAGAAGAAAAGGCTAGCGTTTAGCTAGCACAGCCCAGTCCATAAGAAGTCTTTCTGATGATAATTAAAACCATGAAGGTTGACGACATATAAATGAATTATGAGCTATAAGTGCTTGAAAAAGTACACCATAATATAGCCGAGACGCTGAGGATCTATAGTATCAATAGTAAGTTCATTTTTGAAGTTAAATCGACATTACTCCAATGAAATTGTTGTAGGTTACGGCTAGCTATCGGTAGCGAGCTAACAGCTCGTATAATAGTTTGGCTCTGGGCAAATATATTCTAGTATGAGCTCACACGCTAAAGAGGACGGGCGCGCATTGCCTCGTTCTTTTGTGTGTGAGACAGGACGGACAAATTGTTAAAATAAAAAGTTTAAACAGGATAATGGTAGCATTTTCATAAGCAATCTGTTTATAAAGATTGCCCTAAGGATAGAAAGGAAATACATAATTCGGAAATTTTATGTGGAAAAATGCGTTTCATAGAGGTTCTTTCAACGATCGCAAATCTACCGCAATCTGCACATAAAGATTGCGGTAGTATTGGGGTTCCGGACACAATAGTCATTAAAATAGAAATTTGTTTTGTCGATAAATCTAGAACATGGACACTGAGCGTGGTGTAGACGGCAATCTGTGGATAAAGATTGCAGGATGGTGGCCCAGCCGTACATCGAAGCACAAACATTGTGGATTGGCCTTTATTTGCTTTCCGTCCTCGGACAACTCGGCGTTATCTTTCCGGATGAAGATTATTTTTGTTTTTTTCTAATGTCTTCGGAACGAGCATAGACTGTGATCTAGTTCGTTGGTCACGCTGGTGCATATGTCTGATATCGGCCATCACGGTGTTTGCAACACCCATTGTTTGTATGAGGGACTGGTGTACCTAGGAAGTGGTTAAGTGGGGGTGGGACTTAGCTGAAGTCAGACTGCAGTTCCCTCCCCCTAGTTGAGAAGTGGTGATGCAGGCTTGTAGGCTGCCTCTGCTGGGACAAATCAGCACAGCCTTTCAAAGGATAGGGTGCTTGTGAAATGGGTTTTGTTAAGTGTAGTTATTGTGCTCAAGAAAAAAACTCTTTTCTTCCTTGGTAGCTTGATTTTGTAGCAAACATTCTGTGGCAGTCTTGCTCAATACATCCACTCAGGTGATTTGAATATGTGCAGTAACACCATGATGTGACCCATAACATTTCCCCCACCTAAACTACGGTCATGTTTTCTATTTTAATGACTATGCATTTGTGTAACTATTGTGACATTTACAGGGTGTCAGGTATTTGCAGTGTTGTGGAGGTGTGAGACAATATAAAACTTCTACTACAACTGTTACACGGGTAAGATCTGATGAATCTGACATTATCATTTCAACTTGTTTCCTGCAGGACTACGGCTTCTGCACTTGAATAGACACTGGCACAAAAACAGTTTGATTATTAATATTAAGAGATAAATGCATGCTTTTAAAGCATCACCTACATAATGACTTTAAAATGATTTAACAAGGTCAAATACTGAAAAATTTATTTATGTATTCATAAACTTGTTACACAACCGTTCACTTGTGCCATTTATGTCTTCGCCACGTAATGTGGCAGTATTAAGTCAAACAATAGCTACTTTCTGTGTTTCTTTTTTTAAAGGTGACATAATAATAATGGTAAAGAAAATCTAAAAGTAACAATGTACATTTGTGTCCAAAACTACTTATATCCCTGGCAAATTTGGATTTTGAATTATTTTTATTGACCCAAGAAGTTTGTTTCTCTGAGGAAATGAGATGGGTATTGCTCAAAAGGTGAAGGAAATTTTTTTAAATAATTATAAATTTTCCATTAAAAAAATGCATTCCTTGTAAATTTAACAAAAATATTTATAACATCAGTCAATGGAAAAAAAAATTGGACATCATAGCAATCAATGTCTTACAAATTTCTAACCTGCTTTTTGCATTTTTCCTACTATTGTTACGACTTGCACTGTAAGACTTTCAGGTCTCTGAGGCTGGTAAGCCTCCTGGTCGTCACCCTAAAACTAAACTCCCCTCAGAGATTGTCAGTGGGATTCAAGCCAGGACTGGCTGGGCCACTCCAAAAAGTTATTATTTCAGACTAGAAGAAACAAAGTGCAAAATGAAATCTGCCTGGGGTAAGAATAATATGGGCCTTTTCTGATGATGGTGACAAACACCTTTTCCCCTATTTCTAACAAGTTCAAGTGTTGTGTATTATTAATGAAACATTCCCCTGATCACACAGTGAAGGGTGCAAGTTGATAAGACTTCTACATTTTCCGACCTTGTTAGAATTTATACTCGCAAATCAAAATATTGTATCTCAGTGCCATTTCTTTTGTCATCAAAATCTTTGCCTGTTGGACCGATGACCCATCCTGCTCCCTGCAGGTCTGAGTATCTGTCAGACCAGTGGTCAACAGAGAGAGATGTTTTATTTCAGCCTCGGTCTTAGAAAATGTTAGAGAGTAGGTAGTGTAGTATTTGTTAATTTCTATCAACAAACAAAGCTAAGAAAAATTTACTTATTTTATGAAAATAAGTTGGAAGGTGTGTCCAAATTTTTGTCATTGTGTAACAGAGTGAAAATAGTTTTTTTCCCTTCAACCGAAATAAAAAACAAAAAAAAAAAAAAAAAAAATCAATAAAATGTATTTTTGTTGGACGTGCTTCTTGGATTAATTTTATAAACACTGTCTCTCGCTTTGTACTTTTAACCTAAACTAGAATAAATATGTTGTCTCACACACACAATATACACTGCATGGGATTATGTTTATTCTTGTGTCCAAATTGGTGGGAGGAGAGATTGTGCAGTACTTTGAACTCATATTCCTGTTGGACTGGTTTCAGATGAGTGTAGGGAATAACTACATGCCTTGAGTATGAAGCAAAACTACCAGTGCTTGTCAGAACAGTAGTGTAAGTTTATGTGGATGTCTCAACCCGTGGAACCTGTTAAACCAGAGAAATGATGAGCTAAGATGTTCAGTGTTCTGAAAGATGTAGAGCACTTCTCCACTAATGTTGCTGTTATTGTCTGACCTTTGAACCAAAGGTCAGACTGGTTGGTGTAGTCAGACAGTCTTTTCTGTTTGGTAGAGACTCTGCATTCTACCTGATGCAGAGATGTCATTCTATTCTAACCTTGTTGGTCCAAATTCA